TCCGAGTCCAATATCCTCCGTCGTGAAATTGAAAGTTGTTTATTGACAACCAGCGGTCCCTTCGTCGTGAAGTTGAACTTGCGTTGTCTGGAGTCCAATATCCTTCGCTGTGAAGTTGAAATTGACTCTGAAATTGGGAAATTGTTTATTGACAACCAGCAGTCCCTTCGTCGTGAAGTTGAACTTGCGTTGTCTGGAGTCCAATATCCTTCGTTGTGAAGTTGAAATTGGCTCTGAAATTGAGAAGTTGTTTGTTGACAACCAGCGGTCCCTTCGTCGTGAAGTTGAACATGCGTTGTCTGGAGTCCAATATCCTTCGTTGTGAAGTTGAAATTGGCTCTGATATTGGGAAATTGTTTGTTGACAACCAGCGGTCCCTTCGTCGTGAAGTTGAACATACGTTGTCTGGAGTCCAATATCCTTCGTTGTGAAGTTGAAATTGGCTCTGATATTGGGAAATTGTTTGTTGACAACCAGCGGTCCCTTCGTCGTGAAGTTGAACATACGTTGTCTGAAGTCCAATATCCTTCGCTGTGAAGTTGAAATTGGCTTTGAAATTGAGAAGTTGTTTGTTGACAACCAGCGGTCCCTTCGTCGTGAAGTTGAACATGTGTTGTCTGGAGTCCAATATCCTTCGTTGTGAAGTTGAAATTGGCTCTGATATTGGGAAATTGTTTATTGACAACCAGCGGTCCCTTCGTCGTAAAGTTGAACTTGCGTTGTCTGGAGTCCAATATCCTTCGTTGTGAAGTTGAAATTGTCTCTGAAATTGAGAAGTTGTTTGTTGACAACTAGCGGTCCCTTCGTCGTGAAGTTGAACATGCGTTGTCTGGAGTCCAATTTTCTTCGCTGCGAAGTTGAAATAGACTCTGAATGAAATTGGAAAGTTGTTTGTTGACATACAACTTTTCTTGACTTAAGTTGTGCTGTAAATTTCCTTTAAATAAATGATGGCCCCTTTCGCCAAATTTTGTGAGCCGGATATCTTTCGTCGTGGAATTGAAATCAGGCTTGAAAGTGTTAACTGGAAACATACTGCTCATGGTTGAGTTTGTGTCGAACTGGATTTGTTTTGAACTGGTTCTCGAACCTATCTGAAATTGGTTCTAAGATGTCAAGTCGGTTGAGGTGTAGCTTCTTACTGCCGAGTTAATCAACCACCATCCTTCTTTGAAGGCGCTTGAGAATCGAGTATCCTTCATCCTGAAGTCAAAACTTGACTCTAAAAGCTGCAAAAACGTGTATGCTAAAATGATGAATGTGATGCACCTAAGTATGTTTAAGATGCATGCAATATGAATAAATTATGTGTTATCTTCTGGATGGAGTCTCGTGCTTTGTCTGTCAATCAGGTCCTTGGAATGGATCGTGTCCCATTTGCTTCCCGAGCTTTGGCTTTACAGACCTTTCATATCTGAGACTGTTCTGCTTGAAAATGTTTTTCTCCTTTTTCTTGTTTTAGGAGAGAGACATGATAAAAATGTTGTAAAATATTGTTCGCAATTGAATCAAATTGTAAATGTGAGTTCAAAAAATATCAAAGGAATCAAGAGCTCTTTTAATGCTTTTAGAGTTACAAATCTTTGACAAATGTTCAAATGGATGAGTTGGTTTTAGGTTAGCCTCCTTTCTAAGGTTTTGGTAACCCAAAATGTCATTTTTTTTAAATATCGAAATATGCTTTGGCATTTCATTTGGGTGCGGACATAATGACGCAACTAGAATGACCAATTACTAGACATTTTATTTTGGTCCTCTGAAATCTTTCATTTGTTCAAGCTTTGTAGGCTCCTCCAACAAAGGCAGTGCGAAAAATATCGGTCTAAAAATGAAATTCTTGAGTGCTCGTGTGTAGTCGACTATAACAGGTGTTCATTAACTCCCTTAGTCCAACATTATCGAAAATTTCTTGCTCAGATAAATTTGATTTAATTTTCCATTGTCTGGCTAGCTGAATCCATAAAGTCGGGCGTTTAACCAATTACTTTAGATGGACAGCTTAACATTATAATCACTTTTATCAGGTTTAAATGAAGGGTTCATCTCATCACAAAGTCTTCGGCCTGACAAAAGCAGTGGAGCAAACATCGAATTGCCAAGTGTCCGAGCAATGTCATGGTTTGAATACAATCTATTCATAAAGCCAGGGCTTTCGAGTTTCCTCTGTAACCAATTGCCTTAGTGGAATAGCTCAGTTTTACGGATTTAATTTCTTAAGATTGTCAAGAAGAATCTGTTATAGTCTAGGTGTTTGTTGAAAGTAAAAAATTTCATCTTTAGAGTTCAATTTTCAAGCAACTGACCTAAACTAGATTCACTTACTCGACTATTCCATCTGTAAAGATCATTATCATCACTGAACGTCTTAAATAAAAAGTATAATAATGTCATATGCAAAATGATGCCCCATGTTGTCCGCACCTAATGAAAGGAAAATGTTATATTGGTTAATTACAAGAGCAGGGTACGGTGTTTGAGTGTATATTCTGGGTAAAGTCAAATTCCTTTTTTTAAATCATGTTACTACGTCAAAGATATGTAACTTTGAACCATTTCAGAGTTTCTTAATTCAGATGATATTCAAAGAATTGCAAGTTTGCAAATGTGATTCATTGTTTAACATCTTTAAAGTAACATAAATTTATTTAAAAGTCCTTACAAAAACTTGAGAAAAAAATAAAAAAAAACAAATTCAAACAAAATGTCTCAAATGATGAAATGGTCTTCCTCACTTGGATGCCCCCAAGTTGTTGAAGTCGATCCGATTCTTGTTATGTATTTTATGTATGATTCTCTTGATTGTGGAGTAATTCTCGATAGTGCGCCCTGGGACTCCGCTATGATTTTCGCAATGAGTGTTCTCATCATACTACCTGGGGTACGGGGTTTCATGGATTTCTCTGGATATGGTGACACCACGTGTGCGTCAAACAACTGTTGGTAAAGCTCCTTATATGTCATAGGATCAAAATGTTCTCATTTTTTATGAGACATGTGAATGTAAAAAAAGGGAAAATAATGTGAATGTAAAGAAAAATAACAAAATGCACAATATGTCTGAATGCATGATGCATGAAATGTTCGAGGCATTGATCCAAAAAATGTACATGTTATTATAAATAATCCTTATTGGGGCAAAAGTGTTACGTCTTAAGAGACAAAAATATTTTGAAGGCATAGACCCCGAACAGCTTCTAATAAGTTGACTAGTCTTCTGCCTTCGTCTGTCACCGGTTGAATACCCTGTCAAACCGTTCCGGCTCCTTTGGCTAAAATGTGCAAATAACGAGCTGCTTGCCCCCAAAAGGTCTCGAAGGACTACATCGCCGACTTTCACTCTATGTCGAGCTTGTTCCAAACGAAAGTGCCATCGGAGCCCTCCACCCAAAGTTTATCGACTTGTTTCTAGAATTTATCAATAATGATCTCCAGCTTAACAAGGGTTTCGCCATCTTGATCTCGCAGTTTTCGAAAGGACTCTTCGGGTCAGTAACATTTTCCTCGTCTTGCCCCTGCACCTTTTGCCTCCGAGTATTCTTTGACCACGGCTGGGCTTCTGAGCTTTTTATCTCTTTGTATTATAATCCCTTTGTCCATTAATGCAGATTATTCATGCTTAACAAACATATTTTTGGTGGATCAACACCTCGTTTTAAATGATGCGAATGATGAAAACAAAATGAAATAGAACAAAAAATAAAAGGGGTTAGTGAGGTAAATCAAAATAAAAAAAAATAAAAAATCCTACCCCACATGATAATCTACCCGAACATGCTTAATATTCCTATACAGACATGATTTCTATCCCGCATGCTAATTTCAAACAAATCCTAGCCGTATATTTGTCTAGTTCGCATGCTTTGAACAGAAAATAAAGCAGGAAACAAAGCATCTTAGGGTTTGGAATGAGGTCTTGGGGTGAGCTCTAATTCCTTGCACTCTCCCGGTTTAGGTTCTAAAAAAGGTACTCGAGTTCTCCTTACTGGTGTCCCCTTAGGCTTGCCAGACCCTTAGTCCTAAGCCCATTACAAGCTTATGTGGACTAAGTTAAACTCGAGGGGAAACATTCCCTTATGCCCATACGGAGAATAAATTCACACGAAGACATAAGGTATATGAATCCCGAAGGTTACTTGCTAGGCCCATACGGAGAATAAATTCCCACGAAGGCGTCGCTTTCGCCCCCACTTAAAAGGGTTCAGAGCTCGGGTATAGAGCTAGAGATGACAATTTTGAAAAATCTGAAATCATTAAAAAACATCAGTACAACTATTTATTTGAAAAATAATCAAAGATAAATAATTGGAATTGAATAAATAAATTAAAATTTAAACTTACCATTTTCGCACAAAAAGACAACCGAAAAAATTAATTCTGGCCTGACTCACTTACCTTGTCCCCAGTGGAGTCGCCAAGCTGTCGTAACCGTCTTTCGGTTGGGCCCGGAATTGGGCTTCGACTTGAAAAATGTGGATTGGAGTTAGAGTCCGACCACTTTAAAACGAATTTAGGTGGGTCGGACACCATCTTACCTGATCTGCGTTGTACCAGAAACGTGTCAGGTTCGGGAGTCGTTTACAGTCAATGAAGGGTTAGCACCCTTGAACTACCATTTCGGTACCAATTAATTTGTCGATTGTCTTAATTGCGAAAATTAAAAAGTTTAAATTTAAATTTAAAAACCCGATTCAAATTAATTACCTTTGATTGATTGAAAATATCCCTAAAAAGTCAAAAATGTTAAATAAAGAATAATAAATAAATATTAAATAAATGAAAAGAAGGAAAAGAAAAAAAGTACTAAAATAAGGAAATAAAAACATTAAATAAATCAAAAGAAAAAAATGAAATAAAAAGTAATAAACTAAATGAAATAAATATAAAAAAGAACCCATAGATGAAGGACCATATGTTGAATTTACCAAAAGTTCAAAAGCATTGTATTTTTTTGTTTGATCTCACGCATGCAGGAGCCTTTTCTAAGGCATTTGCAATTTAATTTAAAACAAACTTTCCCTGTTAGTGCTAGCAACCAAGCAACCTTCAGTGGTAGCCATGGGAACCGAGAACTCTCCTCCATTAAGCAACAACAACCCAGCAATTCCCTCGGAAATCTGCAAGTACTTGATCGGCATCTCACAATGGAAACCCAAAATCGACTTGTAATCGAACCCCTCCAAGGGCAATCCAGACAATGACTTGCCCATTAATCTCTGTAACGACTCACGCCTAACTGCAACCGCTCTCTTGCAATCACCTAATTCCGATTCCAACGAATACGAAGGAATTGTTCCCGCCACAACAGATTTAATTATCTCCTCGTCTTCCTCCGTTAAATCTGTCAAAGGCTTTTCATCGAACAATTTCTGGACAGCTAATGTAGAGAGTTATAGATGAGTATTCGATTACGTCGATTCGATCATCATCAAGCCTTGCATAGTTAAATCCTAAAAGATAATCAACTTGTTCTAATTGATATTGCAGGGCCATGGAGAAGGAAATTAGTAAAGCCTAAATCTCAACTCCATAAGTGGTTCTCAGTATTGGAGAAATAGCAGTAATTTGAAGTGAACATTACCTTTCTTTTTTAATCAAATCAGAAATTGATAAACATAGATGCAATGATAACATCATATAATTATTGTAAGATAAGCACTCCAAATCATCCAAACAAACCCGTGAAGAAATTCAAACAAAAGATTATTGAAAAATAAAATAAGAAGTAGGCCAAATACAACAGATCTAAAGTTCACATCACTTATCTCAATAGCGATTCTTAGGCTCCTCGAGTTGCTGGTTTAACTGCACGATTTTAACAAGAAAGCTAGTAACAGAGAAAAGGATCCAGTACAGAATAAGGGCAGCGATGATGAGGAATGCGTGGCGTTGGCTTAGATAACGTCTTTGGTCAGTCCGCTAATTCGATTGCTGGTTCAAACCGGTGGCTCCTTGGTTTTCAGCAAGCAGTGATGGACATAATCCAGGTTCCAAGGATCCCAAAGTCGAGCCATCTATCAATCTTCTCTCCGTTGATGTTTTTGTTGTTGAAACTGGTGACGTTGAGACTCTAAAAAGCACTGATTGGAAGTGGAAAACGTGTAGCGTTGGTGGTGGAATCGGGTTGAAGAAAAATGTTGTTTAGTTTAATGTAAGATCAATGAAACCAAAATGCAGGTCGAATGGATCCCAGTATTGTTGTTGATGATCAGTTTGAACTCCCCCTTCTGTCATGGACATATCACCTTATAAGCACATCCTTTGCTTTGGCTTCCCCCCTTCCCAGATGTGAGTTGAGGAGATAATGGGTGGTTATGAATGTTGTAGGAGTAGTGGAGGCTGTTGAGTACTTGGAAATGGGCCCTGCAAAAAAATAAAAGAAATAATAATAATAATAATAATAATAATTAAATAAATAAATAAATAATACAATAAAAATAAAAATATAAAACCTGGTCAAAAATGGGTGTCTACAAGTGTTTTATTTTAAGATAAAAAACCTTGAGATTTGACTAAATAATCACTTGATTTTTTTAATATTTTGGTCTCTACTATTTCATTTTAGGGGGAAAAATATGTATTTTAGAGAATTGATAATTTGTTGACTAACGGTTTTTATCCATGGAGGGATCTTTTTTATTCCAAAATAAACTACTGAATTAAGAAATGCTTAAACTTGATATTTAATTTAAAAAATGCTTTTTCACAAGACAATATTTTTTTACACTAAAATCAATGATTTTGCATTAATCAATGCTAGAAGGCAATGTTTTTATAAGTATTAGTATACTTAAATATATTTTTGACATTGTATTAAATTATTTTTTGTTTAATTTAATAAAAAAATAATATAAATTTTATATTACATATTTTTTTTTGAATTAGAGGCTCATTTTTTATTTAGACTCGACCCAAAAAATAATCAAGACTGGCCTTAAGGGTTCACATATGGCTTTACCACCCAGTAGAATAGATATGAACCTAAATTTGTTGTTTAGCTGAGATTAGGTCATAACTCTATCGCATAATTTTTTTTTTGGGATAAGTAAACTCTATCGCATAATTGGTGGTTAGATGATATTTGATCTTTAAAATTATAGAATAATGATCCACCGGAGAGATGGTATATGACTTGTATGTATAAATTGTGGGTTTTTTTGGTATATCCAGTTGTAAAACAGTCTGGAACCGAGTTGAAAATGATGAGAAAAAGAAGACAATTATGGTACCAGAACATTTACGCGATACATGCACTGAATGAGAAAGAAAACTCGTTCTATTGCACTGAATATGAAGACAATTGTCTTTCCCTCGATGCAAGGCATTCAACATTGCTCGACAGTGCATTGATGTGCTCCATCCTTGTGATCTGAACACCACAAGGCATTGGACAACCCACAAACGTGTGGCCGGAAACACACATAATAAGAAACACTTTATCGTTGTTAACGTCACCAACAGAGTATAATTAAAAAAGTTTAAATAATCATAATTTTTAATTAAAATTTAAAACGATAATTCATTTAATTTTAAATATATATTTAAAAACGGATGAAAATACAATAATTTATGATGCATAAATGTCATATGATATCCATTTACAGCTACCAGCAAAAGCTGCCAATGTAGATATAGGGGACCCTACATTTATTCATAAAATAAAAGGAAATACGTTATTTCCCAAAACGCCATTACCTTTTACTCCAAATTCTGCCTAGAACCTGTATACGACATCAGGGATGAATTGGTCATTCAATAAGTCATCCACCTGCCGTTTTTTTCACATGCGGTAACTTCCCTATTTTAGCCCTACTGAGAATTTGTTGTCGGTGTTTTCTTGAACGGAATTTTCCACTAGCTTAAATGTCCAGCTCGTTACAGTCTGCCTAAAATTTGAAACCCTAATTTGTTTTCTTACAAAACCTAATTATTATTCTTATGCTTATCAATTATTGAATCCGAATTAGAAGTAGAATCAAAATCAGATTCATAACCAATGGAAATTGAAAGTTTTGTTAAATTCAATTGATCTCCATAGAAATTCAATTGTTTCGTGACAATAGATTGCTAAATCTCGACTGGCGGTTGTCAAATGGCGGATCAACAAGAAGAGGAGGACCTGAGAATGGCTCTACGGAAGAGCATGCAGAAATCCCCGCCAGAGCCTAAACGAAGCAAGCCCGGAGAAACTGCCATCTCACCGGCAACGACAACGCCGGAGGAGAGACGCCGGTTGCAGCGCGAGCTCATGGCAGCTGCAGCTGAGAAACGGATGATGACTGCTGCTAAAAGCTCTCCGTCTCCCAATTCTCCGTCGAAAAACGAAAGGAGCCGGGGTTTAGGAATCAAAGAGGCTGAAATGAAAGCCAAAGAAGTTAATTTAGGCAATAAATTGTCAGAGAGAGAAGAATATCATTTATTTTCAATGGTGTTTGGAAGTGGCGTTTCAAAGGATATACTTGCTCAGTGGAGCAATCAGGGTATAAGGTAAAGTGTCGTATTTTACTATTACTCCAGAATTTTATTTTTTATTTTCAAAAAAGCTTGCTGTTCGGAGATCAGGAGTTACTTAAAGAACTAAAATTGATGGCTCAGTTGAATTTTCCTTATTTATGATGGTTAAGGATATTGATCCCAGTATAAATGGGTGGCCTAAACTGCAATTTAAATTTGTTGCACTAGCATCAAGCTGCAATGGACTATCATGTGCTATAGACGGTTTTCTGCATATCAGAACGATGGAATTTTTGTACTTCATTTTGATCTCTTACACATAATGTAGTAGGGGGAAAGTTCATTCTTAGTTTTTGAGGCAAACAATTTTTTTTACTATGGAATAAAAAGAAATTTTAGGAATCTAATGTTTTCTTCATTGGTTTCTTTAGATAGCCCATAACGCTTTTTTAGTGAATTGCTGTTGTAATGAACACTTTCTAATATGCACATGCTTATTTCACAGCAAATTAATTCTGAAGGGATAGGATGATTAAGGTTAACTTCTAGGTTTTTTAATGAAAGACTCTGGTATAGTTGACTAATGATTAGAATTTGTTTCTGCATAGGATTAAGAACTGATGAATAATAGAAAACGACATTGGAGAGCTATTCTGGTATGGTAAACTATACCCATGAATAGTGTTGGGAACAATATCTAGCAGTTTCAAAGTTGAGTTTCGTGGTGTGCATATTTCAGTTAGCTTAAAATCATAAAGAGACTCTATTCAAGTTTAGGTCAGATAATGTCAGATACGTTAACTATTCAGCATGATTTTTAAGGTTATGTAGGCCTTTTATTCTTAAGGTGCTACATATTGAAAGAAGTTACATTGTACACAATGGCGGACGTATGTGTCTTTCAGGGTGGGCATGTGCCCACCTTGAAATCCAACTTTCTTTATGATAGTTGTTCATTTTACTGATGGTACCCACCCTGAAATTTTATTTGTGTCTACCCCATATTAAAAATTTCTATTATTAATACATTGTGCCCACCCTGAAAAAATATTTTTGGATCCGCCACTGATTGTACATGGTAATTTATTAAGTTACAGAATATCTTTATTAAATTGATGGTAAGATATCAAAATTGGCTAAACAACTCTTGAACAATAAGGTAAAGCCTAAAATATTTAGAAAACCGGAAATGAAAAGAATTTTTTTTTTACTATAATCATACAAGGATAAAAAATGTTTACTATAATCATTCAAGGATTCTCAATATGAACTGATAAAAGTTTATTCAAGGCTCTCCCTAAGCTTTTCATCATTTAGATGTTCCAAATTAAGGCTTGTGCAGTAGAGTCAGCCTTGAAACATGTTTCTAGCTGCTGTAGAAGCTGTTACATAAAGGTGCTATGCCATGCAACCCTTTATTGGAAAAACCTGACCATGTTGATAAAATTTTGGCTAAGTTACTGCATCTGTTGTTGAATCATGTCTAATTGGGATATGGTGCCTTGCCTTTTTATTGTGAAGAAACTGATGATTATGACTTCCTTGTGGAATGCACTAGCCAATCAACAATACAAGTATTCAAAGTAGAAGACATCACTTATTCTCATACCATTATAAAACTCAAGAGATTAAGTGTTTAAGATAATTTTCTTGAGAACCTTCTAGGGATAAAAGAACCCTTAAGTAAAGCTTTTTGTGTACATCTTCGAGATACCTTTTTGATAATTAACACGTGTTTTATAGATTTCATTGGTCATCATATTTTTCTTTGAACTTAAGAATGCACATCCATGTTTGTCAAGTCTGACTATGAGCACTATTCTTACTACTTCCCTTTTCAAACTAATCAAACAAATTTGTACCTCAATAACATTCTAACCCCTTCCAAATATCATGGCGCACTGAACAATGCAATTGCCTAACCATCTCTTCTTTCAAAGATGTTTCAGACAAATAAAGGTTAGTTTCCTTGAACAGATAACCATCACATTGGGAAAACCCATGATAAACTGCTTGTAGCAGCACTGATAATTTTGCATATATAGTGGTAAAGTTTTTGCCATATGGTTATTGGTTAGTTTCTCTTGAGCAACTAGGCCCATAACTTGGATACCATTGCAATTAGGGCCTACGCTAGTTGGTTCAGTGCTTCAGTTTCTTCTAGACATGTGCTTGATAACAAAGAATATTATTGCAAATACCATAGAGATGCTTGGTAGATTGAAGTTGGACTTTCATTCATTCATTGATTTCTTTGGAAATTGTAGAGGATATCTCATCCAAAAAGAATGATCTTTAGCTGTGAAATTTGTGATGACTATGTTGTGGTGCATAAATTCCCAACCAAATGCCTTTAAAACATTGCCAACCTGAAACCTATGATTTAGCATAGTCGGATCTGACCATTATTGAATAGAAGGTTTTTTTCCTTGCATCAACTTTAAAAATTTTATAATCACTAATGCACCCTAAAACAGAGTGGTTTTCTTATTAAGGAACCGCTAAAGTTGTTATGGAGCTTTCCATGCAAAGAACTCTTAACACTTCATCCTTTCTTGCTGGGTTAAAATGTCTATTTAAAAGAAACATGTAGAAGGCTGAAATATTATATGATTGGGCACACTGATAACAGCTCTAACGGTGTGGTTGTTTTAATGCCTAAGCTGAGGTTTTGTGCGTGTGTTTTATTCCAGACTTAAAGTTAAAAATGTTTAGTGGTATTATTCCACATTAGTTAAGTCTTGAAGTTGCTATGGCTTCATATTCAAGTTGAGCCTCTCCATTGTTTGTCACTTTTCTTTTAGGCCGGATGCTTGATGGGTGTCATTTGGTACTTGTTTGTTCACATGTTAAGCACTCTTTTTTAACTCTTAGTGTCGAGCTATTCAAGTTGAATCACCCATTGTCAATTGATTTTTAGTTGGATGCCTATAATAAATTCCCTTTTCCTTCTACCTTTAACGATCCTATAAATGAACCCCTGAAATTTTCATCAACCATGTTATCCACCTATCAAAAAGCTCAACCACACTGCAGTAGTTCCTGTCTTCAATGAACATAAATTCCGCACATGTTCATATGATGGTACTTTTATTGGTGACCTAACTAGTAAAAAACATGAAAAGGCTTAATAAATGTTAAATTAAAGGATCTTAAATATGATGCCATTTGTAAGTAAGTTTATCTAGAGTGATAAATCCAGCGTGTGCATCTTCCCATTATCTGGAATGTTAGCAGGCTATTTTTCATTTGTGATTCTTTGTGCTTAAAAATGCCTCATCTTGATGTATTATGATTACATGTTGTGAACCTGGCCTGGAAATTACTGGTCTAGCTGACTTTTTTTATTCTTCAGTGAACATAATTTATCTTTTATATCCATGTGGAGTTACTTCTTTTGCTTATTGTCTAATAACACATGCCTAAATATTATGTAGATTTAGCCCTGATCCAGAAACATCTATGGGCCTAGTACAACATAAAGGTGGGCCCTGTGGCGTCCTAGCAACTATACAAGTAATTCCTTTATTTCTCACTGTATACAAGTTTCATCTACCATGCTGCTTCTGAATTGTCAGTTGGTGTGCCATCTGAAGTTCTTAAGATTAGACAGTTATTCGATTTATTTTGTTTCTAAACCAGAAGTTATGTAATTATCATTTTATCTTCTGAGTGGGTTAATATTTATTTCTTTGGACAGCTAGTTTCATGTTTTTTTGTCATTGAATAGAACGAATGTATTACTGAATGGTTATTCAAATATAAGGAACATTCGATCCATTTAAAATATACCCATTAAATCTACTTAAACTTGTTACTTTTACCATTGATGTACTTTACTTATTTTTATGCAATCCTTTTGGTAAGTTAACTGTTAAGAAATCTTAGATTGATGCAAGTTGAGTTGATGACCTAATGCAAAGCTATTAGGTTGGACCTTGGGTCACCTTCTTAAATAACCTAGTTTGATTTCTGTTCTGCTGTTTATCACTTGATAAATAGTTAATACCGCTGCTGCTGACAGAATTTTGTCTCTGTACAGGCATTTGTTCTTAAACATCTTCTTTTCTTTCCGGATGAACTGGGTAAAGTTGCAGCAAACATGCCACATAATTTGAGTTCCAGGAGATCATCCAAAAGTCAGTATGTTGCGTCAAATAATTTTTCTGCTTTTACTGAAGATGCAAAAACAAGGTGATTAAATTTTGCAGGGCAAATTGTATGCTGTATTCTAAGCTGCATAAGGACACATCTTTTTAGCTTATTTGTCTTTAAAAGTTTTCTAGCTTATATTTCATGAAATGAAAGGATTAAACAGTTGAGCGCTTTTAATTGCATCTTTTTCCAACTGGGTAAATCCTTTTCCTGCCTATTCCTGCCTTTTTATTTACTTTATTAGTCATCTAATTATCTTCCACATGTCTCAATGTTCCTTCTATTGAATGCTTTCAAGAATGATAGAATCTCTATTGCCAAAACTGTCGGAAAAAGGTATAATGCTGATCCCAATAGATGAAGTCAAATCACATGTGTGATTTCTCATTTGTAGGTGTTTTTCCTGAGATGTATTGCTGTTTGTGTGGACTGCTAGTTGTATATGTTTTGAATTATTTCAGCTACATTTTTTTCCTGCTAGGAATATATTGTCTGATCTCAATAGGTGAAGTCAAATCGCATGTGTGATTTCTCATTTGTAGGTGTCTTTCCTGAGACGTATTGCGGTTTGTGTGGACTGCTAGTTTTATATGTTTAGCATTATTTCTGCAATTACCAGTTTGGAAGGATTTTTTTATTCATGTTTTGGAGCTGTTTCATAATTCATATTTTCTTCTTCCCTATTATCTATTTCAGCCAAAATTTTTGTTTCTGTGCACAGAGCCCTGGTTAAAAGTATGAATGAGATATTGTTTTTATGTGGAAATAACAAAAGGGCTGTAATTGCAAATTTAAACGTTGTTTCTGACAACATTGAAGGATCCGAAGGCAGCCCAAAGGATGTGGTTAGTGGAATTGGGTTGACCTGAATATGTTAATAATTTGCCACTATGCCCTTTTTTGTGTTATTACTGGCTGATAATTGTTTTTGTTTTTCAGATCATTGCACAAGCACTTGAAGGTCTTTCAATTGAATCAGCTTCTGATTTGCAGAAAGTGCTAAGAGTAGACACGTTCACATCCCCTACAAGTGCCTTTAAGAGGCTTGAAGGAATGATTACCATTTTTCAAAGTCGCATGGGAGCGCTGCTATTCCTTATCTCGGCATTACTTTCTCGAGGGCTGGTGAGTTTCTTGGCTTGAAAAGTCCATTTTATTTTCATCTTCATCAATATTCTGGTAGTTCAGAAAGAAAATTCGAGACGAAGGATGTACATGTTTGTCCAGAGCTAAAATTTTGTTTGCATGAGAATGTGACTTATCTGTGCTTCCTTTTTATACTTTAGGACCGTGTTCAAGCAGACAGGGACGATCCCAGCTTACCCCTAGTAACTGCACCATTTGGCCATGCTTCTCAGGTAGTAAATTTTGCATATATTCATTGAATGGATGGGGCTTCAATATCTCCAAATTGGTAGTGCTGTCTTTGATGCATTCTTTCATCGTAATACGAAATTATTTCAGGAAATTGTGAACTTATTGCTCTGTGGGCAAGCTGTTCCAAATGTATTTGACGGGAGGATGGATTTAGGTGGTGGCATGTTTCTGAAGGGTATACCTACAAGTGTGGAGGTTGGATTCCTCACTCTTCTAGAATCCCTTAATTTCTGTAAGGTTGGTCAAAATCTGAAGTGCCCGAAATGGCCAATATGGGTTGTTGGAAGTGAGTCCCATTATACGGTCCTATTTGCTCTGGATACAGCTGTTCAAGATGAGAATGAACTGGAAGAAAGGGAATCACAGATCCGGAAAGCCTTTGATGCCCAAGATCAGAGTGGAGGTGGTGGCTTTATCAGCGTCGAAGGTTTCCATCAAGTACTCAGGGAGACTAGTATCCAACTTCCATCTGACAAACTTGATAGCCTTTGCAGCTCAGGCTTCATCGTATGGAGTGAGTTCTGGCAGGTTATTTTGGATTTGGACAAAAACATGGGAGGCCTTAAGGATTCGACTGGACAGATGGGTAGAAAGATATTTGACCTTTACCATTTCAATGGTATTGCAAAATCAGATTTGAATGGCAGCCAAGCCGGAGGTGAGTCTCCGGTACAAAGACCCAGGCTTACAAAATTGAGGGTCTCAGTACCCCCAAGGTGGACCCCGGAGGAATTCATGGCAGGTTTAGCAGTTCCTTCTGGTACTGCAGGTGGTGGATCGAGTGGGAAAGACGCTGAAGTGGCTAAACCTGAACAACCTCCTCAGCATGCACCATTAGCAGACTGCATTAGAACACGCTGGCCTCGTGCTGTTTGTAACTGGATTGGGGACCCTCCTAGTATAGTCTGAATGTATGTTAGATCAATCACCTCTGGTATCCTTACCTTAGTGTTCCTGGTGTCAAATGAGATGGAAAATGCCGCGAGAAAGTGGTAAACCTGGTTGATTGCAAACGAGGAGGCAGGCAGAGTTATTTTCCTGGTTTATTTCATTTCAGGTTCTGTTGTGCATTTGTTGTAATGATTGACATTCGAGTTCAATTTTCATATGTTACATACCAAGGCAAAAAAAATGGATTTAACGTCAATCAAATGGGCATGCGTTCATGTTTGCGTTTGTTTTAGCGAGCAAATGTTAAAAATTTTCACTGCAATTTTGTACCGTGGGGCTCTTCAGTTTGGTTCACTTGATAAAAACTCATTCGAATATTGTACTAAACACGTACACATCATGGTCGATGGATTTAGTGGTAAAAACAACTTTTGTTCTGATGGAAGTTTTGATCGACACACGTGAATTTTGTAGTTATATTTTTCTACAATTAAATAAAAAATAATCAGTAAAATGTATGGTGAAACGATGTCTAATGCAAAGCGATTACAAAAGTAGCCGATATTCATGAAAAAACATCTATATGAGTAGTCAAGTCCAAGTGGTCTACGTTTGAAACTTGAGCAGACAATGAAAAAGAGTTCTCTCGTTGCCCCCTTTTGTCTGAAATAGATGATCAACAAAATTACCAATGATCTAAAAATGTGCAAATATTCCATCAATATGTAGGCAATAATCTTTTAAAGGGTCAATGAGACTACAGAATCAACAGACCAGAGTAAGAAATTTGACAAAAGACGGTTCATTCCCTGAAAGTGTGCTAGATACTTCCTTCTAATCAAGCAGTCCTTAGAGGTGGAGAAACCAGTATGACTCCATCACCCCTTACAAACAGAAATGGAACCGTGCGCTTTGTGGTCTGAAATGAGGAGAAAATAGGGTCATCGACTAAAAACGTGAAAGAAAAACCCTAATCTACAACAAAGACCCTGCCTCCCTTCTTTTAATCAGTCACTTAAAACAAAAACCCTAAATTCATGTTCACTTGAAATCTCCAGATTAATAGGAGAAATCCATGTTTGCTTCCACCCTGAAGTCGGATTCTTGCATTTCACCCAATATAAAATAAGTTCATCCCGTCAATCACTAAACAAAAAGTTAAGGTGGTACACTGGTACTAGCAAGGAATCAGAGAGAAAACTATTTATAACAAGCCAGTATGATTGTGGATGAGGAAGCATCTTTCTTCTAAGTTCTAATGCCTAATATAACTTATTAAAGCTCACCTTCTACATCTAGTTCATACATTAGTTTTCAAAACAAGCATTACACATATTGAAAGGGAACAGTGATGTGGTAACTTACCCGAACAATCTCCTCATAGGTTTCATCATCTATTTCAACTGTAGTAACAACCTCTTCAACATCCCCTAGAATCATATTCAAATGCTGATCATAAGCCTGCAAGACACATTAGAGAAGAACTAAGCATCAGAATGAAGAGCTACAAGCTCTTAACGTTATGGCCAATTATAACGGCAAGTAATAAGAACATAATTACTAATTCGTATTACTGAGTAAGAAAATACTCTCCCTGTAGAATCAAAGTGATCTGTATTCATATCATCACCTACAGTTCAGATGGTAAATAGCTATAAAAAGATATTTCCCTTGATGTCTTGCCAAAAATTAAAGAGAACTCTAAAATAATATTATAACAAATGAATAGCCATTGGCTGTTATGAACCAAAGTACGATGTTAACAAAACAACAAAATCATGTTGCAGTTGTTCTGACTAAACCAAACTTTCACGAAATTTGCAGACAAAAAATAAATACTCACGTCAATCTTTTCACAGAAAACATATGAAAATAATATGAGAGAAGCTAATTTATTTTTATGTTTAAAAAGGAAAATTAAAAGAGAGAAAAGGTAGGAAAACATAAACTTAAAGAGTTACTTAGGGGAAAGAGGAAAAAAAGAAACGAAAATGTAGTCGGAGGTCAGCATCAGACACATAACATCTCAATTCACACTGTTCCGGTAGCAAACAACTTCAGCAGCTGCTTAAAATGTTACCAAATCAATGTGAACAACAGATATCAGGCAGCAATTAAAACAAATAGATAAATAGACTTGCATGGAAGGAAGGCATAACGATCAGAAATGCTAGAATGAGAGAACTTAGATTATTGGTATAGAGTATCAATATCATAAATAAGATTAAACATTTAGAAACCATCCAATAAACAGACTAACAGTGTCATCTCAATCTCTCCATGAACAGGAAACAAAAGATTTAGAAAATTTATTAATCACCCAAAAATTTACACCATTGAAGCATAACAATTGAACAAGTCAAGTAATTTGAGGGGGGAAGATACCCAAGATTTTGATTGATCCTGGTTAGGCATATTCAAGTCGGAATATTCTCAATGGCTACCTAATACTACCTGAATTAACATACCCTAAATTACAAAGGGAGAGGAGAAGAATACCCAATTTAAGGAACCCTAAAATGGAATTAGAATATTTAACGTTGAAACTTAAGACTGGTAGAAAGGGGAGGCATAGAATTAACGTACATGGAGCTTGCCACGGAGTTCACGTTCAGAGCGGAGCTTGACGTAAATACGTTCGTCGAGGCTGAGCCTTATCAAATCCAAAGGCTCCTTCACCGCGCTCTCTTCTTCGCTTGCCATTCTCTCTCAGCTTTGCTCTTTCCTTACTCAGTACCAGTTTAGGGATAGCACTTTTAGGTTGCGAGCGAAATAAAATATAGTGAAGTCTTCAATTTATGATATTATAGGATAAATTACCTGTATGGTCACCTATATTTTAATTTTTTTCTATTCTAATCACTCAAAAATTTCAAGATAAAAACGAGTTAAGATTATAATATGATAATGATCTGTGTCTAATTTGGGATTATAATATGTACCTTAGTGATGGTGATATTATGAAACTCTATCGTGGCTGTACTATATTACGTGATTTTAAGGTAATATCTATTTATGTGATTTTAAAGACGTTGGAGAAACAATTAAATTAATGAAATTGAGTTAAGATAAGCATTAAGAAATATTAAGATTTTTATAAAAAAAATAATTGTATTATCCTCCGTTTAAAAATTTTAGTTACAATCATTAAATTCAATTAACCTAAGGATTTAAAAAATGTTAAACTTTAAAATTTTATATTGTAATATATATATATATATATATATATATATATATATATACAATTAGTTTTGTTTATTCAATTACATGACACGTATTTTTATAGGTAAAGTATAAAAATAGTCCCTGAACTTTTAGGATACTTGCATTTTGGTCATCTAACTTTTGAAACTTGTAATACAATCATCGAACTGTTAGTTCGTTTTCAGTAAGGTCTCTCGTTAGTTTTAGCTGACGTGACACTTAATTCTTGTTAACCCTCCCTCTTCTTCTTCTTCTCTCACCCCACTTCCAGTTAACGGTGGCTCACACTACCATTACCATCGTCACCGGCGTCGCCTCCTGACCACACCCCGACCCTTGATTCATACTCATCGTCCATCGTTCGTCCCAAATCGCAAAAAATCGTTCAAACACCCATTCTCGATCTTCGTTGTCAATCATTGGTACCAGTAGGAGCGTCGCTCCATTCCGACCAAAACCCGCTAGCCACTTGATTGGACTCACCTACATTCGTCGTGGAGAGGGCCTTGAATCTCGTCGAAAAACTCCAATACCTCTTTTATGTTTTTTTGGTCGATTGGGTCGTTCGTTCACCACACCACCACCACCGTTGTTGTCCTCACACCATTTTGACCAAAACCCAGTAAGTGGTGCATCATCCTCCTCGTCCTTCCTTTGTCCGTCGTTGTTTAAGAAGAAGGGGGTTAACGGGAGTTAAGTGTCACGCTAGGTAAAACTAACGGGAGGTAATGACAGTGACCTTACAGAAAACGAACTACAGTTTTGGTAATTGCATTGGAAGTTTTAAAAGTTAGGTGACCAAAATATAAGCACCCTAAAAGTTTGGGGACTATTTGTATATTTTACCCTTTTTAATATTCAGCCATACATGATTATGCATATGATTGATAGAGCCAAATTAAATAAAAATTATTAAATTATTAAAATTATGAATATTGATTTATTATTCAAATTTTATATTTAAAAAAATTGAATTGAAACGTGTCAACTGAGCCTTTATTCCTCATTGTAACTTTCTTATCCATATGAATGCGTTCCCTCTTAGCATTTTTGTTTTTTCAAGCCAATGCCCTTTGTTTCTGGCTCAATATGGGGCCTCCATTTAGTGCTTTCATTCGGCTCTTATGGGGTCACCTACATTCTCTTTGTTTTTACTATTAGAATTTGTCGAAAATATTTATTTATTTTATAAAATGTTACTATATACAGAAGCGCATACTTTGATGGTATAATTATTCTCAAAAGCGAATGTAAATGGCAGCTGTAATTGCTTATAATACATAAGCAATTAATTTAAGTCGCTGGGCACATGGTTTTGTGATTGCTGATTGCTGATTGCTTTCATTTTATTTTACTTTTTATTTCTTTAGAAAGGAAAATCACCCTAAATGAAACTTTATTTTATGCTTATAGATATAAATAAAAATGATTAATATTGAGAACAAAGAGTATCATTTTTTAATTTGAATTTTTAGTTAGAAGACAACAGAACCAATGGGATAAGTGTAAGATGTCATAATTGTTTGAAAAGTTTACTATTTATTGTAGAATTTTATTTTATAAGTTAAGTTAATCTAGATAAATAAAATAATAAAAATATATATTTAATTGATTACTTTTACTAATGTGATATAATAGACTTTAAATTATATATTTTTATATCGATTTTAATATGGCATCTCTCTATATAAGTCAGCTAGCAACCCTCATTAAATGTCTCCACTTATATGCTCTATTTTTAACTCTATATAAGGCTCAACAAAAAATATATATACTAAAACAATGTTTATATATATAGTATGTATACAAGATTTTATGTTAAGAGTATGAACTTATAAAATTTAGGAGATGTGAAATTATAAGAATTTTAAGGGGTGGAAATAGATTATCAATAAAAAAATATAAAGAAAATACTTACAATACATAAGAATTTAAAATTTTAAAGAGTGTAATTGTCTCTACACACCCTTTAAATTTATCCCTAGACTCATATATCTATATATATTACATCAATATTATAAAAGGTTAATCATGAAATGGAAAAATGCATCAGGAAAATTCTGTTTTTTTATATATATATTAAAGATTATGGTGCACATTGTATTCTTTTATAAAATGCATGAGGAAACCATCTCCCATATCTTTCGCTCTTGTATGATGGCACAAACACAAACAGTATGGATGGTTGTAATCAAAACCGAAGCTTTGGATGAATTTTCAATATTGCCGATAGTTGATTGGATTCAAATTAACATCACCCAGACAGATTATTTTGCAAAGAATAATGATGATTGTGATCTGCTATTTGGGTCACTAATTTGGAGTCTCTAGATCCGACCTAATATTTTTTATCCGAAATTTATAGAGATAGAAAATATTTTACAACATAGGAAACTCTCGCAAACTGAAGCACTTCATGCGATAACATTGCAGGCAACGAGCCAAATTCCTCGATGGTCGATGGATTAAAAGCTTCACGAAAGCAATTGGTGTTTGTTCGTATTAGATGCTGAATTGTAGGGAGTCTTCGTAGGATTGGAAATAACATGGGATATGGAACTTCGATCAATTGTCGTAGAAACTGATAGCAAGGATGCTTTGAACCTATTGACGAAACGTACAATGATGGATAATGTCTCGCCTATGGTTCCACGAATTATTGCACTAATCTACATGCCATGGAACTTAAAATTTGTTTATGCACCTCGCCAGGTAATAAAGTAATGGACAGTTTAGCTGAACTTGCATGATCATTCTTGTCTGGTCTCCGAATTTTTGAAGAACCACTAGATGACACTAAATTGCAGCTCAAAGAAGACTACATTATCAACTCCTAAGTAGCATTACTATTATCTCCTCTATCTTTGTGTATCCAATAAAGAAATTGATTTATATAATTTTCAAATATTTTAAATGAATAACCAATTGACTGAAAATATTAATTTTGACGTAACCACGTGTTGTGAGTTTTATTCTACTTACCATTTGTCTGATGTTACGTAATTTGTTAATGTGCCTATATGTTTGTGAATGTTAATTTTGTTAGTCTGTTTTGATAAATCGTCTTATGTGTGTCCATAGTTTATTTATTTATTTTGTTTATTGCATCTTTCAGATCACATAAACTTTCTAGTTTATCTTTTTCTTTTCAGATAATTTACGTGGTAAGGGATTGATATGATATTCGGATGATTTAGATTTTAGTTTTATAAATATAATAATAAATTTGATTCTTTATGTCTGTTTATAATCATGGTATAAGATGTCAAACTGATTTTGTAAAATAAATTTATCTTTCATTTGTAGTTTATTTTGTACCATTTCGATAATTACTATGGCTTAATGTTTGAATTGGATGTAAGAATTATAATCTAATTTTGAAATTTTAATTTAATATTTTATGTATTATGCAATTGATATTAAATTGTTTGAGTTAAAGAAGTTAATTAAGAAAATCTTTAAAACTTATAGATTTGGATGGGTAGGCATGGGAGTCACATCCCACACTAATTGTATGGTACAGTCACCTCTCCTAAGACAGAATTAGTGAAACACTCCAATCGATTCAACCAAGTTAAATGGTCCCAGAAATTCACAACAAATTAATTCTATTATAATTATTATTTTTAAAAACCTTGCAAATCACGGATCAATTGATAGAGCTTAAAATCGATTTATAGCCATGAAAATATGAAATTTAAAAAAAAAATTACGGTAGGTTTCAACCTAACAGAAAATGGCCACCGATTCTCTTCATAAATGGCTTGGCCCCTAATAACATGACCTACAACATGTTTTTATTTCAACAATGGATCCCATTACAACATGCTAATGTCTCATTTTTTTTTAAAATATACTAAGTTTATTTATATATAAATTACTATTATTGAGTAACATAATTTGAGTTCACGATTAAATATTACGTCAAAGATTAAAAGAATCGTCATTGAATGTGGAATTTTCATAAAATAATAATTTTAAAAAAATATATAATGTGCTAATATTTGATTGATTGAAGGATTTTTTTATTCAAATAATAATATATCCAAAGTAATTAACAAACTATAATATAGGTACATGATTCAACTAGAAAACAGTTTAGGTATTTAAAAAAATATATAGTTTGGGGCGTACCGATCAGTTAATCCATTTAAAAATAAATATAGTTTAGTATCTATAATATATTAAACAGCTACAGCAAAGTTATATGCATATTAAAGATAATTATGAGTACTAAACAGATTATTTTCCCAAGTACAATAATATTTTTGAAAACTACGTGCTTCAATGATTAAAAGTTCCGTAGGCGATTTATCGGGATCCATGTTAGGGGTATTTTAGTCAATTACGGAAAATGTTTGCTAAAGCTCTTTGAAAGCATGGAAAATCCCCCATTTTAACTTCAATTTCTTGATGGATCTTTTCACTCTAAGGAAACAGAATTTTAAATATAACAAAATAAATATATTTCGAAAAAATAAAAATGAAAAAGCAAGTAAAATAAGTTGAAGAAAACGGGTCGGCTTTTAGCTAAATATAGGAACACAAAC